CTGCAATTAAATTTAGACCTGTAGATAAAAGTCGTGCCGAACTGATTACTCAGAGTATTTGTCAAATGATTACAATGGATATGCTACCATTTAGTACGGTAGAAAACAAAGGAYTTCGAAAATTGATGTCAGTTATTGAACCAGACTATAAAGTACCATGTAGAAATACAATCATCGTTCGTATTGAAAAAATGTATGATGATAAAATGATGGAACTAAAGCGTAATCTAGAAAATATAAAAGGTGTAGCATTAACTACGGATGGCTGGACGTCTTTGRCTGWAGATTCTTATATAACATTCACATGTCACTACTTTAATGAAAATTGGAAACTATGTACTCAAGTATTAGGGTTTGAAGAAATGCGAGAAAGCCATACGGCAGATAATATACAAGACAGTTTAATTAATATTATTGAAACATGGAATTTAACCGGTAGTCATAGGGATAAGTCACGATAATGCTGCAAATGTAACTAAGGCTATACGAAACTTACAAAAACGTGATATTTATTCAAGTCCGTGTGCCGCCCATACATTGCAATTATCTATATTAATAAAGGTCATGAGAATAGAACGTGTAGCCATTTATTAAAATTAGCCTCGAACATAATTGCTGCTTTTAGGCACTCTCCAAAACGAACAAATGCTTTAGAAAACAAAATCAGCGAATTAGGACAAAAAAAATTGTGCTTAATACAGAAATGTCCGACTAGATGGAATTCTAGTATGGATATGTTAATGTGTTTATTAGAACTTCAGCCAGCTATTGTATCAATAATGTTAGATCATGCATTATTCAACACAAAAACAGCAAAAATTGCAAGTTTACTAGATCCAAGGTACAAGAATTTACAATTTGAATCATTAGATCGTATATGAGAAATTATTAAACAAAAAATTCGTTCAAAGATACAGTCAATTAGATATATATCTGAAAATGAAAACACCTCAAATACTAAACAAAGTACAGTATTAGATGATTTATTGGGGATAGTTCCACTAAATTCTGAGGATGAATTTTCGAGGTACTTGGCTGAACCACAAATTAATCATAATGACGATCCGTGTTTGTGGTGGAAATCGCGTGAACTTACGTTTCCTTTTTTATCTGTTCTCGCAAAAATATTCTTTGTATACCGGCTTCTTCGGCATCTTCAGAATGTGTTTTTTTTACTGCTGGATCAATTCTATCCCCAAAGAGAAATAGAATGACTCCCTTTCATTTATCAGCCCTGGTATTTTTAAATAAAAATATTTGATTCTAAACTAGACTAATATAAAAACAACTATTTTTATTATTATAG